TGACCTTGACATGGAGAAAGTAGATCTGGTCTTAAGATTTACTGCAGAGCACTCTGTGAGCTCTCTCACTTTTGTGACTTGTTTTTCCTGTGGTATCAGGCCTGAGTTTAACTTCACTGGGGCCTGTGACCCCAGAGATCTCTAGGACTGGGTTGATAACCTGTTTGGATGCCTAAAAGGAAACAGCCCAGAGGCCAAAAGGTGGCCTTGTTTTCCGGGGGTTGGGTACATCATCTGTGGAACTTCCCAAACAAACAGGCCCGGAAGTGTGTCTTACTAGGGGTTTCTTATTCAAATGAAAATTACAATCAAGGCCAACCATTACACTCACGTGGTTTTACCTAAATGTCAAGTCCATCTGTCTGTCCATCCATCCACCCACCCACCCATCCATTCCATAAATATTTATAAAAGTCTCTACAGCCAGACTGCTCACAAATACTTTTTTATGCTTCTAGGAGCTCCCGTTTGAAATGGACCCACAAGCAGAAAGGATACCGATGTTGGCTATGGCGCCCAAGCCTCTCTTGGCTGAGAAGACAAGGCTCTTTTCAGGTCGCTGGGCTATTCCAAGCTGGCGGCTGTCAGCCTGGCTTTGGGAATAACGTGGGCTCTCGCTTGGGATCCTGCAGGCAGCCAGAGCCCCGGATTTCTGGGCTTTGGAAGCATGCGCTCTGCCCGTTGGGTTTGGAATACTTTCCTCCGGGCAGGGCCAAGTCTTTGCAAGGCAAAGAGGGTGGATTTAGCCAGCTTCACCTTCTCTGAGCACCTGACCAGGCAGCCCCTACGGAGTGGCCACCTCCTCGGCGGCAATAATTCATCACAGACGGGTTCATAGACGTACTTAAGAAAGAACGGATGATCTATTTTGTACACGCTCCTTAAAGGGATTCCATTTTAGCTCCAATTGTAGTTTTTACCTTTTTCAGGGGAATTTATTGACACAGTGCCTAGCTCAGCCCGAGTTTTCGGCATCACCCTTTTGTCTGCAAGCGCACACAGCCGCGGCTTAATTTGTCATAGCCCTGGAGGTATCAGAACTAATGAGCTTTGTTTGAATAGACTTTTTCCAGTTCATCTAGCACACTTTGGGGTAATCACTCAGTTTCTGTTTGCTTCTGATCCGAGGCATTGTGGGAAATATAAGAAAATAATGGTTAAAAAAGCAGTATAAATTGGGAACAGCCACAATTTCTGTAAAGCCCCGAAGATGTGATTTTTTTAATTTCACCACTTATTGAAGTATTGAGAGTCCTCTAAGTACAACCATTACAATATAATATCGGGGGAGAATCTGATAAAATGCTATTTTTCAATTAGCTGGGAGTTCATACTTGGCCTTCTTTAAGCAGCTCATAGCTAACAAATCTTTAAACAACCTAACCTCTTCAGGTTGGGAAGTGGACAGATAATAACCACGAACGTAGAAGTGTGTGCCAGCACAGAGGCTTAAAAAATCCATCACTGGCATTACCTACAGAGGCGGTTTTTACTGGTCAGGCAACTGCATTTTCGTTTCAATAAAACAGCCCCTCAGCGTCCTTTGGTTACACCACCAAGCAGGTGGGAGAAAAGCGGAAGCTGAACTTGGGGTCCTGGCTGCACAGGCCGCGGAGGCTGGCGTGGGGGCAGCTGCTGCTGACTTCCGT